TGAGTGTGTGTGTGTGTGAGAGAGAGTGAGTGTGTGAGTGTGTGAGAGTGAGTGTGTGTGTGTGAGAGAGAGAGTGTGAGTGTGTGTTTGTGAGTGTGAGTGTGTGTGTGTGTGTGTGTGTGTGTTTGTGTGTGAGAGAAAGACTCACCTGTTCTTTTTCCTGCAGATCTGCTTCCAGCTCTTGAATTCTGAGCATCAGCTGAGCGTTTCTCTCTCTCTCCAGATTCACCTCCTTACACTGATCCTCCAGCTCTGAGATCTACACACACCATTAGCACTACAGCTTTTCAATCACAGACACCTGAGCTCAATATGACAGCAAATGCAAACATCTCCTAACCTACAGTTTCTGATTCTCTAACCCTGTGGTTAAACTCAACTAAACTGAGACTAAAGCGTCTCCGCTGATAAATGACTCTGGAGGCATTGCTTCTTCACCTTCTTCCTCAACTGGTTGTTCTCGTCCTGGCTCTGCGTCACTTTACTCTTCCAGCTCTCGGCGTTACTGTTGGCCTCCTGCAGCGTGTCCGTCAGCCGAGCATTACTGTCCTTCAGTGCCTGCAGCTCCGTCTCCAGCTTCTTACTGTCAGGCACACACACACACACACACACACGGCGTTCAGATTCACATCTGCGCTCGTGAAGGATGAAGAGCTAACCGTCTCTACTACTAGAGTGAAACACACTGAAGTTACTGAAGGTTGATGACATCTGAACATCTCATCAGTCAGTCAGTCTGATTCAGATCTGATCACGTCAGTTTAGGGCTGGTTAGTTAATATCAGAAATATGAATAAATGAATATCACACGAGTCATTGCTGAATGAACTGTTGTTTTTATGACTGAATCAGTTGAATGAATGATTCAGTGAGCGTCTCACCTCTGCTCCGCTACAGACTTCAGCCGGTCGTTCTCACTCATCAGCACTGTGTTCTCCGGCACGTGTGAGATCTTCTCATCATCCGTTCCGTTGATGCTGGACGCTTGATTGCCTGTTGGAGTTTCACGGCCAGATTCCTGACAAAACGACACAATTTCACATTTTAACAGACGTCACTCACAGACACTGATGTCTGATGCACATCAAACGAGCTTTAGATTATGAGGATGACTTTATCTATAGTAAACAAAAACAAATGAATGTAAAGTTGTGACTAAAGCAATTTAGTAAATAATTAGGGTCAGAGGAACCTGCAGGATCGCGTGTTTGTTTTTCAGATGACGATCATGTTGTCACATGTACCTGCGACTGATCGCTGGACGTCTCCATCTTCTCCTGAGATTTTTCTCTGGCCAGTTTCGCAGCTTCTTTGACCTCCTGGAACTTCTCAGCGAACTGAGGTAAAACACAGAAAATACACGGATCAGGACAGGAAAAAAATATGGATCGGGACTGTTACACCTCTGACTGTCAAAAGGCTTATAAAATGAACCTTCATAAAGGTGTTTTGCTTCTACAGTTACTGCAGAAACACATGGTGCGACTGTTTCAGATCATTATAATTCATCAACATCAAGAACAGCCGCATCTCATGCGCTCATGTGTGCATGCATGCGTGACGATCTGTGCGTGTGTGTCTGTGTGTGTGCATGTCTGTGTGTGTGCATGCATGCGTGACGGCCTGTGTGTGTGTGCACGCATGCATGCGTGATGGCCTGTGTTTGTGTGTGCACGCATGCATGCGTGACGGCCTGTGTGTGTGTGTGTGTGCGCATACATGCGTGACGGCCTGTGTGTGTGTGTGTGCACGCATGCATGCGTGATGGCCTGTGTGTGTGTGTGTGCGCGCATGCATGCCTGATGGCCTGTGTGTGTGTGTGTGCGCGCATGCATGCGTGATGGCCTGTGCGTGTGTGCGCATGCATGCGTGACGGCCTGTGTGTGTGTGTGTGTCTGTGTGTGCACATGCATGCGTGACGGCCTGTGTGTGTGTATGCGTGTCTGTGTGTGCGCATGCATGCGTGATGGTCTGTGTGTGTGTGTGTGCATGCATGCGTGACAGCCTGTGTGTGTGTGTGTGTGTGTGCGTGCATGCGTGACGGCCTGTGTGTGTGTGTGCGTGCG